TGTAAAACACAATTGATGACAACAGATTTACTTTAAAAATAGATTTTATTGATTGAAAAACTTACATAGGCATTACAAGGTATTGTCTCTGAGCTTTCTTTTATATATTTTGATTTATAAAACACATTACAACTAAAGTGGTCATAAAAACAGCATCCCAGCGTCAGACAAATTCTGCTAGAATACGCTATCTGTTATTATGGGGGGTAGATGGTTTCCACAACGTGGAAAATTTGGTGGTATAGGAGGCAAATCATTAGTTGTACCTATTTGAAACACCAAGTTCATGCCTATAACAATATGGTATTGGAAATGACAGTGAAAGAGCCAAAATCCAGGATTGTCAGCTCGAAAGCGTAAAACAGCATATCCATTATTTGGTACAGCAACAGTATCCTTTAGGGATGGTTTAAGGTACTGTCTTTCCAACAGTCCGCGTTGGTCAAGGTCAAGAGCATGCTTTAAATTCATACGTTTTATGTGCGTATCCGGGGAGCGTCCAAGTCCTAGGACATAAAAAGAAGTACCGTGTAAATGAAAGGGGTGGCTGATATTAATCTGTTGCACTTCATCCACAAGCACAACCTCGACTATTGCGTTAAGAGGTATATCGATTTTATGAGTACATTGACAGTTTTCGCCACAATCTACTGGTCGATTGTCCCCATTACAGTAATGGTCTTGGGGTATGTCTTTATACTGTGACAGCATCGGGGAAGGTGGCGATATGTATGATACCTCATCGATAAGAGATATAAGATGATCAGCGTCTGAAGCAACTATAAATTGGAAATTATCAATATGATTATAATAGATTTGTTATTAATTGTTATTGCTTATTAGTTTCTGTTTTTAAGAATGTTCTGTTTGGGAGTTTAAGGGTACAATTATTGAATTGTATACTTTATTCCTTAAAAGCTAGTAAAATTTCTCTCAAAACAAATGTTTTCCATATAAAATGGTTTTTGTGTCAAAACTTATGGGATCTACGAGAATGAAATAATTTCTTAAATTTAAATACATTTAGAAGACACAAAATTTGTTGATGATTAAAATTAGTTAAGCTAAGCAAATTGTTAATAAATAATAAAAACTAAACTTAAAGTTATGCTACGGTTTAAAAACCACGCGGACTAGAACCACGTCACCGGCGGAACATGGTCACCACATTTAGGAAACCGCGGGGGAACTGGTGGTAGGTCAGCTGGTGTTCCGATATGAAATATGAGGTTCATGCCTATGACAATATGAAAAAGGAAGTGACAATGGAAAAGCCAATAGCCTGGATTATCTGCCCGAAACCTCATAACAACATAGCCATTGTTGGGGACGGCTATTGTATCTTTAAGAGGTGGCTTAGAAAAATCACGCTCAAGCATGCCCATTTGGTCCAACTCGAGAGCATGCTTTAAGTTTATTTTTTTTATTGACTTATCCGGCGAACGACCCAGTCCTACCACATAGAAGGCTGTTCCATGCAAATGAAATGGATGGCTAAGATTCACTTGCTGGACTTCATCGACCAACACAACTTCAACAATAGCTCCAAGAGGTATGTCAACCATGTGTGTGCATTCACAGTTTGGACCACAGTTCGGCGGTCGATTGTCTCCGTTGCAGAAGTATTCGGGCGGTATGTCTTCGCTTTGTGATAGGGGCGGTGCCGGTGGCGATATGTATGATATTTCATCGACCAAAGATGTCAGATGATCTCCACTAGGCACAACTATAAGTAGAGGAATATGTTGATAGTGTCGTAGTGGGGTTAATATCCATTAAGCAATTATATACGAGTGCATATATAAAAAGGAAATGTTAGTTACTGAAAAGATTAATGTTTTCGTCACCAATTTAAATGCACATACCTAAAAATCGGTTGTAAGTATTTGGTATAAATAAAGTTTTTGGCTCGTACACATAAAATCTGAAAGGTAAGAAGATTTTCACATCAGGGCGCTCAACCAAAACGCCTTTGTCGATCTTTTTCGCATTCTTTAAATTAGAAACGCAAACTGCATCTGACCTTTTACGATCACAAATGGCATCCAAAGGGTTGAGAATCTGTGAATACGGCACAATAATTTAGAATCACACATATTTTTATTGGATAGAATAACATAAAATTAAGGGAAAAACCGTGCATACTTAAATAGCGTTATTCTTATTAAGTGCGAGTATGAAATATATATGACAAATTCAATTTAAAGTTTGCTTAAACCAGAACCATAAAATTAACACAATTGAACATTTTGGTTAATTTATTGTGGAATTATACATGCAGACATACATACATATTCATAAAGAGTTTTCGAGTTTAAATATCAAGGTTAATTAGCTTTTACCAGGTGCTGGTAGGTATATCGTCCGTGAAGTTTTAAGTTTAGTTAAGCTTTTGATATATGAATATTTATATAAATCATTTAACATGTATTAATATGTATTTGCTTTATTATTTATTTAATATGTAAGTATATGTACATTTGAAAATTATAAACAATTTTGGAATAAATATTAAAATCAAATATTATACCTTTATTAACCGTTAACAAATGCATGCAAATTTATCCACCTGATAGTACTCTATTTTGTTGAATAAAATTTCTGAATTATGTTTAACACGAAATTAATTTAGCAAGTAAAAAACCTAATCTCGAAAATACAAACCTGCTCCAGCTTTCGCAATATTTTGTCACCACGAATACGTATTCAAAAAGTTGAAGTTACGTCCTATTTTTTAGTTTCAAAAAATTTTAACAAATTTAGGATTTCTTTAAAGTAAAACATACGGAAGTATAGGAATAATAAAATGAACAAAAAACAAAAAGGGAAGGAAACTTCGGCAAGCCGAAGATTATATACCCCTGTAGCTATTGGCAATGTTAAATAATTTTTAAAACCTCTTAATTTCGATTTATATTATGTTATTTTCAGTTCATTTATTTGTTCGTTCCTATGATATCTGCTATTTAACAATACATGCAGGAAAACTCCGATATGAATAAAATTAAAAGCGTAAATCTGTATTATTAGGCTAGTAATGATCCAAAACGATCAAAAATAGAGGATTTCCAATTTTTTTCAAAATTTATTATGAAATATTTCGGTTGTTTACATGGGAGCTATCACTATGGTACTCAGTACATGTACAAGTAGTGACGTCGAGCACAAGTAAGCGTGCGCAAGAAGTCAGCTAAGAACAGTCCGATCTTAAAAAAGGATATAGCAATCAAAAGGCTCGCTTTTATAAGAGTTTTAGAAAGTCATTTGGTTGTGGATAAATGCGGATGAATGTGCAAAAGACATTTTGTATTTCACTAAAGCTGTTGGGGCCGGTGGACCAAAAAGTATTATTTTTATGGCGTGGTTGTATTTTGGCATGAAATACGCGTCCAACGACACCACAATTATCTCAATCCGATACTCCGATAAAAATATATTCAATAAACAAGACAAATACAGCATTGCTGTAATGTGCGTATCAAAGCGATGTTTTAGGGTCCTGAAAAACTTTTGTTATACCACTTTTTGGAAAGCCCGCAAGTTTAGCGGGAAAACGGATAAAAACTCATTTTCACACGTCCACATCTTCCAAACGGCTTAAGCTAAAGTTACGTGATATATATCGTTAAAAAGGTATTTCAAGGGCTACTTAAAAACAAAATCAGACTTATAACTTAACCAATTCAAAGCAGCGTACCGATTACAAAAAAAAAATTGAATAAAATAAAAATAATTTTTTTCTGGTAAAATATAAAATAATCGTCACAAAATTTAATATTATAAGTTTTTGGAGTTGAAGGTCCGATCATGACGTCAACTTTATCTCGTCAAGAGTTGCTTTTTTTTAGATATGATATAGTCGTACCATTTCAATCAAATTTAAACTGTAGTTCTGTAATAATAAATTATTACTATATTTCGAAAGACTTAAAAATATTATAAAAATAGCTAGTTATCATTTGTATACCCTTGCAGAGGGTATTATAATTTCAGTCAGAATATTGCAACGCAGTGAAGGAGACATTTCCGACCCTATAATGTGTATATATTCTTGATCAGCATCACTAGGAGAGTCGATCTAGCCATGTCCGTCTGACCGTCCGTTTCTACGCAAACTAGTCTCTCAGTTTTAAAGTTATCTTGACCAAAAGTTGTCTTTCTATTGCAGGTAGTACATAAGTCGGAACGAGCCGGATCGGGCGACTATAGCAAATTTAAATTTCATTAAAATCGGACGACTATATCATAGAGCTCCCATGGAAACTATAAAAATATGTATAACAATTTTTTTCTTTTATGTACTTTTCTATTTTGTCATTTTTTTTTAATTCTTCTTGACTTATTAATAATTTGACAAATCGGAATTACGCTTTTAATTTTATTAAAATCGGAAAATTATATCATATAGCTGCCATAGGATCTATCGAATAATTAAGCTGCAAATCATCATATCTCATCAAAACATTTCTCATTTTTAAACATCTTGCGTATATGTATTGCGTATATATCATATTTTTAATGTTTTCAAGAATATTTAGTTTTTGCAAAAACTGCTAGGTTATATGAACTTCGGCTTGCCAAAGATTTTCTTTTCTTCTTTCAACTATTTTTCCGGTTTTTCATACGGAAGCTTTATGCTATAGTCGTTCGATAGAGCTCGTTCCGACTTATGTACTACCTTCAAAAGGAAGACATATTTTAGGAAAGTTTCAAGAAGATAGCTTTACAAGTGAGTTTTCTAGTCAGTCGGACTGACGGACGGACAGAGAAACACGGATAGATAAACTCTCCTAGAGATGCTGATCAAGAATAAATGTACTTTATAAGGTCGGAAATGTCTCCTTCAAACTTCTGACTGAAATAATAATACCCTTTGCAGAGATATACAAAATCAGGGGACAAGTGACAAGTTTTTTTCTTAAATAAAAAGCAATTTTATAAAAAATGGGATATTGGTTGCGGTGCTTAAATCGAAATTGACATATTTGCAAATATTAGAGTTCCTTTAAAAGGCTGATAATATTTATTGAATTAACCATTTTAAATTTATATTTTTCTGTACAACATACTGGATCAGTTCATAAGATAATTACTCTTAAAATTTTTTTTGTAAATACTAAAACAGATATTTTTTATTTTTTGTTTAAATGGTAAATATGAATACATTTGAATAGCTCTGATTCTAAAAACTAAGGCATTATAGTTGAGACAAACATATGTTTTTAATGTTTGAGTAACATTGATTATTGCTTTCGGAATATTTTGTTTAACCATTTTGTACACAACTTTGATCTTTAAATTTTTATTTGAACACATTCAAACTGTAAATAAACGGAGTTTACAAAGTTTGCGATATAGCCAGCTCGAATTAGTTTGCAGAAAATGTAATAAGAGTGATCGGTTGCTTGCAGTCATTTTAACATTATAGTGTGATAGTATTGAGTTTTTTATGAAATAAATAAATGTATTGTGTTTTCAGTTTCTACAAATACACACATATTATTAGGTATATACATTTGATAGTACGCTCCTGGGTGTTAACGTTAAGGGAAAGGGTAAATACTCCTTAGAATGTTGTCATTAATATACAATTGGAGGTTGGCAGTGTTCTTACTACTGAAAGGGAAACTGTGCTTTGTGCTATTTTTACATAAATATATACAATCTTGGTAAATATATTGTGATTGATTAAGCTTTTTACAAACTGTTCAATCGGTATGTTGGTCTTTTTAATTCCTTAGAAATTCTGTTGATCGTTTTTTTGCCATGCGCTTCATTTGTGGGGTTTGTCGCACAGTTTTGTTTTAGTTTATTGGTATGGGTGGAGTGTGGTCGCCACATGTTGGGAAACCTGGTGGCACGGGTGGTAGATCAGCGTTAGTGCCAACCTGCAAAATCAAATTCATACCAATAACAATGTGGAATAGAAAATGACAGTGGAAGAGCCAGAATCCTAAAAAAAGTAAACGTTTAATAAGGTATATAGAACAAATAAATTTATAACATTTATTATTACCCGGATTGTCAGCTCTAAAACGTAGCACAACATATCCATTATTAGGTACTGCAATCGTATCCTTAGTCGGTGGCAAGTTATACTGTCGGTGTAATAGTCCACGCCTATCTAGGTCTAATGCGTGCTTTAAATTAATCTTCTTCACGGACGAATCCGGTGATCGACCAATACCAATGACGCTAAACCCGTATCCGTGCAAATGGAAAGGGTGCGACAAGTTAGGCTGTTGAACTGCATAAAGAAAAATTATTGAGTACAATTTTTAATTTTAGATATAATTTTTAGAGATGTATGTTTGTTATGTACTTTTCACCAACTGTCACAAAGTGGTTCTCTCTGGCTTAACTTACTTACAACTAAAGGACTTTTAGCTTGAAGACCCATCAGTTAATACGTTGATACGGGGTACGTCCGTATGAACTTATTGATATTGGTAATAATTAGTAGAGCTGCGAAAAAATCGATTGTCTGTGCATCGATTCTTTTCGATCTTTTAATGAAAAAATTCGATTTAATTATTTAAATTGAAAAAAGTTATGATAAAATATTTTGCATACTTTATAAAGAAAGTTGAGATCCAGTTAATATTCCTTCAAAACATAAAAAAAGGAAGCAAACTTCGGCAAGCCAAAGTTCATATATTGCAAAAATTCTTGAAAACATTAAAAATATGATGATCTGCACCTTAATAATTCGATAGTTCCTATGGCAGCCATATGATTTCGTTTTCCTATTTTAATAAAATAAAAAGCCTATTTCTAAACTATCAAATTATTACTAAATCAAAAAGAATTAAAAAAAAATTACAAAATAGTAAAGTTAATTTTTTTTTAATTTAATTTTTTTTTATAATTCTTTTGTTTTTATGGGAGCTTTATGCTAGAGTAGTGATGAAATTTCAACCGTAATGTTTTCAAGAATATTTAGTTTTTGCAAAAACTGCTAGGTTATATGAACTTCGGCTTGCCAAAGAATTTCTTTTCTTCTTTCAACTATTTTTCCGGTTTTTTATACGGAAGCTTTATGCTATAGTCGTTCGATAGAGCTCGTTCCGACTTATGTACTACCTTCAAAAGGAAGACATATTTTAGGAAAGTTTCAAGAAGATAGCTTTAAAAGTGAGTTTTCTAGACAGTCGGACTGACGGACGGACAGAGAAACACGGATAGATAAACTCTCCTAGAGATGCTGATCAAGAATAAATGTACTTTATAAGGTCGGAAATGTCTCCTTCAAACTTCTGACTGAAATAATAATACCCTTTGCAGAGATATACAAAATCAGGGGACAAGTGACAAGTTTTTTTCTTAAATAAAAAGCAATTTTATAAAAAATGGGATATTGGTTGCGGTGCTTAAATCGAAATTGACATATTTGCAAATATTAGAGTTCCTTTAAAAGGCTGATAATATTTATTGAATTAACCATTTTAAATTTATATTTTTCTGTACAACATACTGGATCAGTTCATAAGATAATTACTCTTAAAATATTTCTAAACTATCAAATTATTACTAAATCAAAACGAATTAAAAAAAAATTACAAAATAGTAAAGTTAATTTTTTTTTAATTTAATTTTTTTTAATAATTCTTTTGTTTTTATGGGAGCTTTATGCTAGAGTAGTGATGAAATTTCAACCGTAATTCTGAAGTATTTAACCATTACTATATATCGAAGAACAAAAAAATAATTGTAAAACAGCAAAGTTATAATATACTATATACTATATACTATATACTACCTGCAATAGAAAGACAACTTTTGGGAAAGTTTCACTCAGATATGTAGCTTTAAAAGTGAGAGACTAGTTTGCATAGAAACGTACGGTCAGACGGACATGGCTAGATCTGGTGATGCTGATGAAGAATATATATACTTCATAGGGTCGGAAATGTCTCCTTCACTGCGTTACAACCTTCTGACTGAAATAAATCCCTGTCTAAAGTTAATCTGTCAACCATTTTCGGCTTTTCATAACGTAAAAATATCAAGAATTACATTTTAAAGGCTCTGATGTTTTTCTTAGCAAAAAATGGTCTGTCGACCGTTTTCGGATTTTCTGTACGGAATAATGAAGCCTGGGAAAAACAATAACATACATATGTTTAAAAAAAAACATCGATTACTTCAAAACCAAATCGATATTTCCCCGAAACCAAAAGAATCGATAGTGTCGATCTTGACATCGATTTTTTCGCAGCTCTACTTAATAGAGCTAGAGAGTTGGATTCTGATAGTCAAGTAGAGCTGGAAAACTATCAATGGTAATCCCATTTACTTTCGATGTTTTGGGAGCGAAAATTCGATACAATGGATAATTTCGTTAATTTGTACGGTTCTCTATACAAATTAAAATTATAAGCAATCTCGAATGTATATTTCATATTTTATATATATTTTTTGAAATAGTACTTAAAATCTGCATTTAATTTTGTTTGATTAAGTGGTTTAATTAAACATTTTTTAAATTTTAATTTAAAGCCCAGTGTTCCAGATTCCACCGTTCCTCGACCGACGCTTACTAACCGACGCTAATTTGACGCACATAAAATTTTGCCCATTCATTGGAGTTTCCGTCAAAACGGACTAAAATAACGAGGCTAATTTAATGATTTTTAAAAACATTTTAAAATCTTTTTTCATTTTAAATAAGGAAAATATCCGAGAAAAACAAAAACATATATATTTTTACGACTAGGCAGCCTGACAAATGATTAATTTTTCTTTCGTATATAAATAAAAAAATAACCGTAGTAGCTAGAAAATAATAGTACAATGGCCTAAAAAAAGTTATGGTGGGCGCTAACAAAGCATATGTAAAATACAAACACTGCTAAGAAATAATTTTTAGCATATAAAGGTAAAAACTGAAAATTTTTAAACGTTAAAATAAATAGTTGTCTCTTCCTGTATTCAATGAATCCGTCAATAAATGAGGCCAACACGTATAACTAGAGTTTACTGATCTATGCATGTAATAACAAATAGAAAACAATTCTTACCTTCATCAACTAAAACTACTTCCACAATTGCATTAAGTGGGATGTCAATTTTATGAGTGCACATACAGTTTGGTCCACAATCCGCAGGACGATTGTCTCCATTACAAAATTGTTCTGGATTAATATCATTATACTGGGATGTCAGTGGCGCTGGTGCCGAAAGGTACGAAATTTCATCGATAAGTGAAATTACATGGTCGCCGGTGGGTGCCACTGCAATATTTTGGATCAACGATTTAATATAAAAACTGCTTTACATTACATACCTAAAAATCTGTTATACGTGTTCGGTTGGAAAAGATCTTCAGCTCGATATACAAAGAAACGGAATGGTAGGAAAATCTTAACATCTGGCTTCTCTGACAAAATACCACGATCAATCTCAAGAGCGTTTTTTAGTTGGCTCACGCAAATGGCATCGTTCCGTTGACGGTTGCATTGGGCGTCCAAAGGATTCATGACCTTTTTTATATTTCAGTACGTTTTTGTCGGTCGTAAAACAAAATCATATTTTGTGTTTTTTATTTACAGGTGCGATCAAACAAAGTTTATGTGATTTGGGTTGTAGTGATAATGTACATATTGGGATTTAGAAAAATACAGATTAGCTTACACAATATATTAATATAGTTATTAGAATATGTATTTCGTCAAACATCACTGTTGCGGGGTGTACGGATTGATTGGTATGTACAAAGTGATCAGAAAAGTAATTCTAAAGCCGTTTACCTTTTTAAAATCGTTCTTACACCAAGTTTAGAACCAGAATTTAAAGCCTACATGTGCTGTTTAAAATAAGTCCTTATATTTATATGCAAAACCCACAATAAATAGTTAGCTTTTTAAAAATGGTCGGACTAAAAAATGGTTTAATACTTTTCGGATGTCACATAAATCTTTCCAACCACATTTTAGCAAAAAATTACAAAAACAGTCTTTTTCATTCCTATTTTCTCACTGATAAAACCAAAACGAATCAGGAGCCCCCGACTACTCTCCTCCACAATAATCCATAACTCTGTCTCTCAATTACATTATATAATTATAATATATTTATTTATTATAATTTTCGAGGGCTTTTCAGTTGGGATTAGAGCTAACCGTGCTAAAAACTGTCAGATTTTTTCGGACGTCAAAGTGCGAGTAGCAATCGCTTCTAATAAATTTGAGCACACAATATAAAAAACTGTTTTGCTATTTAAGTTTCTGAAATCGTTTAAACAGACGAATGGCCGCCAGACAGACGGAATTTGTAACGATTAGAGTACATTCTTTAACTCGTTGGTTAAAGAGAATAAACACGACACCAATCAATTATATTATGTTAACATTCGTTTTTTTAAAGTACATCTGCAACTTATGAAATTTGAAATGATGAAATTTATTTTTTTGATCTGTGCACCGAAAAGCTAGACGACATACAAGGAGCGCAAAAAATATTCATGTTTTGAGGGAATCTAACAAGAATAAGTGTATCAGGAAGTGGTGGCCACCATTTCATCCATCAAAGGTAAGTTGGACTCCCGACTGATCAAGTATGGTCAATTTCCCTTAGATGTCATTGTCTGGGTCTAGAACCCTCCCCTCCTCCTTCGATATCTTGAGTCAAAACTGTTTAAGTTATGCGTTGCTATTAATTTTATTGTTAGGGAAGTTCTTTTCACGTTCTATTCATTTTCTGTGGCTGTTTTAATGGGTAGCAACAAATTATTCGATGCAAAATCTAGAAACCTTTATATTTTGTAATATGGTATTGACAAATTTAGCTTATATTTTTTTTCTTTATATATTTAATGTTTGGGTACTTTTTTGCCCAAGCTTAAGTGATAATAGCAATATTTGTTGAACAAGTCCGCGGTTAATTTAATTGGTTGTTTTGTTTTGCCAAAAATTAAAGGAAAATATCGAAACGTTTTTATTGGACAATAGATGCCCGTTACTCAGTTAACCAGTTTCAAAATAAATATGCCCCAAGAAAGCATTCGAGCTAAAGGAGGCGCCATCTGCTGAACTGCATGTTCAATACTACAAGCTAAGAGCAAGCAGCGCTTAAAATTTTCAAAAAATCAAAAATTTGCTTATGTGCTTTAGTTGATGTTGTTGATGATGTTGTCTGAGTTTAGAACATAGGTTATTTCTGGCTTCTAGATCTGGGGACGGACAGACATAAGGACATGTTTAGATCGCCACCACTGTGAATATTTGTTTTTATAGTTTTTTTTAGTTCTTCGAGAAATAGGAATGGTTAAAATTTCCAGAATTACGGTTTAAATTATATTAAAATCGCCCAACATGAAAACCATCAAAAAAAAAACAAATGAAAAAAATATAACTTTTCTATTATTAACCTATTTAAAAAAATTTTTTTTGACATAGTAATGTTTTGATAATTTAAAATAAAACTTTCCATTTTATTAAAATAAAAAATAAAAAAAAATAACAATAAAACGGCTAAAACGCTGCCAAAGAAATAAGTTCTGAAGAATATTTCAATTTTCTAATAGCTGCAAATGTAAATAAACTTTAGTTTTCCGAAGTTCGCTTCTTTTCTTGTTTTAGCATAAATTAATATCAAATATCTCAAAAAGTTATGTAGAAGCAGTGTTGGGGTGTTACTGGATAATTTTACCTATGTACAATTTTTTGGTACCTTAACACTTCTTCTCTGTTACGAATTAAATGCGTAATTCTGAATAATTAAACCGTAAATTATTTTTTTTTAATATTTTGTTCATTTCTATAAGATTCTTATAGCTCATCATATCATATAGCCCTCCGATTTGAATCATATTTTGTCCGTCATTCCTAAATAACTAACAATTAATAAATGTCGAAGAACTAAAAACATTAAGAAAGAGAAAAGTTATAACTTGGTTGCGTTTTTCCCCGATTGTTTCTATGGGAATTATATGATATAGTCGTCTTATAGTATATATATATATATATATATACTACCTGCAACTTTTGTGAAAGTTTCATAAGCTTTAAAACTGAGAGACTAGTTTGCGAGGAAACGGTCGGACGGACGAGCGGACGGACGGACAGACAGACGGGCATGGCTAGATCGACTTTTCTAGAGATAGTGATCAAGAATATATAAACTTGTAGGGTCGGAAATGTGTCCTTCACTGTTTTGCAAACTTCTGGCTGAACTTATAATACCCTCTGCAAGGGTATAATAACACCAAACAATGATTAAATTTGACTTTTATACGTTTCTGATAAAAAACAATAAGATTGCGAGGATTTTGCGCGGAATTTTTCGTCCGTTCCTATGTCAGCGATGATGATTTGAATATCCAATTTTTTTTATAACTAGATGTGTTTTGGCATACATCTGAACATTCGTATAAGCATAAAAATAACGAAGTTATATTTTTTAAAAATATTTTTTTACTGTTCTAGTAATACATAATATAGTCGTCTGATCCGGCTCGTTCAGACTAATATATTACTTGCAATATAGAGAAACCTTTTTAGGAAAGATTTATACATAGTGACGACCGTCTGGTCAAAAAATTAAGTAGACATAAAAACAAAAAAAAAACATAAGTAACATTATTTTAATTGCAAATTAAGGTTTTTAAAAGACACTCTCCGTTACTCGTAGGGGAAAGGTATATATTGTACTTATTGACAATTTGTACCAGGTGGAAGGAAGAGTTTCCGAACCTATAAAGTATATATATTCTTGATCAGGATCAATAGCCCAGCTGATCTAGGCATGTCCGTCTGTCTGTCTAACTGCGCGTTCATATTAATGTCTAGATGGAGATGGAAACTACAAAAGCTAGATTTGACACGAAGATTAAAGGCTTGTTTAATTTAAATTGTGGCCTCGCCCAACTCCCACAAATCGCGAAAAGCTGTCACGGCATGTGGCATTGTAGAGTTATAAAGCTGTATACGTTTAATTGGGTTACTATCTATCGCTTATAAAACAACTTACCAAACCGGACTTATTCTAGAAGTTATGAGCATAAATTTAAGTTTTCTGGCAGATGGGGACTCTGTTATATTGCCTGAGTAACGGATATTTTATAGTCTGGCAGCTCGACTATAACGTTTCTTCTTGTTCTGTACAATTATTGTTATTGTAAGTAAGAACTATTTACTAATATTGCCATTGGTGTCGATTTAAAAATACTGGAAATCGGAAATTTTTTGGTTTAACAGTTTAATCATTGTCGCAAATGTTTGGGAACGATAGTTTTTGGCACTGTATTACAAAGCTTAAAATTAACTTGTTCCCTCGCAATCTCGATAAGTTTTAACAACTTGATTATTTGTTGAGTTATTTTAGTTTTTCTTTAAAAGCACCGAAAAAAGGTCATTCTATTCCTGGTTCTACCTGCGTATGGGTTGTATCCCCATTGATCGGGCTGAGTATCATAGTTATTTTAACGCTCATAATCCAGATTGGCTCACTGGTGAAACATGCTTTTACGCTAAAGCCTCGTCCTACCAAGTTGCCAACTTACCCCGCTTTTCAACGGGCTTTAGACTCGTATTGGTGTTACCCCCTTAAATCGCGCAGAATAAACTACTAATTTTAAAAGTGGTATTGATTGCTAAGAAAATCCTATGTTAACATAATGAATCGACTTTGTTGGTGTGTATGTTGCTTTGATGACATTCTGTACGTTTTGATTTTATACAGCAAGTAAAAAAATTGTAAATTAATTTTTGGTTTAACTGTTGAATCTTTTTTAAAAAACTGATATATATTTTTTTAAAAATACTTTTCGTGAAATTTTTAGCCGAAATGATACTTACCACACCTTGCGGTATTCCAACATCGTATGTTGGCGCAACAGAAGTAGGTTGATAAGGGCCACGAGCGTACCGCAAAATAGCCAGTTGTTGAGCTCGCCGAATACCACACTCACCAAGCCCACGTAGTTGGATCCAATATGCACCAACAGGTTGATTCGCCGTTATAACGAAATCATAGCGCTCACCTAAAATGTAAGGTATTGTTATGTAACAGTTTACAAAGAAAATTAATTATAAAAAATTAACTATTTTTTCAACATGTTTATTTTCACAGAATATTAAAAAAACTTGAGAATGTTTAAAAATCTGAGCCATATATCTGTACGTGGGTAATTTTCAACTCTGTGTGGACTCGGAGAACTTGTCGTTTTGTAGGGCAGAAAATCATGTCACTATGTTCCCGAAACCATATCATATATTGAGAAACAGACTGGACAGGTGTATGGAATTGTGACAGGTGGCACGCTGGGTGAATAAATTCCTTTGCTAGAGCGGGCTAAATGAGAACATGCCGATGGTTTAATCATTTTTCGTCACAAAATTTGCTACCTTCTAGTATGGTAGGTTACTTCGTTAAAAGGTGTTTTTATATGACGTACAGTTTTTTGAATTCGAAAAAATTAGTTATGTGTATTTTGCAAAGGTCTCCTAAATACATATAGTTACAGACTTCAAAGCAGCCATTGAAGGAATAGAGGATACAAAGCAGAGCGGTCCTTCCAAAGGAAAGTTAGCATCCAGGCTACACAACTTTAATCACACTAAAATACCAAACCAAAAGGAAACATTTATTTTAAGCATAGCAGAAATCACCGAGAAACTAGTTAAAAAGTAACCAATAACATTATTATAGCACAAGCACAACGGCATGACGACTAAAAATTGTACGTAATGCACGTAAGGAGCAATTTATGTGGCTGCACGACCGGTATAAATTTGTGCGCCCGAACAGGGACCTACCTACATTAAGCATTAAAATATATGAAAATATGCAAAATCCAAGGTCTAATTATCACCATTGGGATACTCATCATTGCACTCAAATCAAGCCTGGAGTTCATAACACCCCTATGAGCAGATTTTAACAGCTCATCGTCTGACTGCCAGCTGACGGCAGAGTGTGAATTGCAACATTGAAATACATCAGCGCTGCATAATACAACATGAAGTCAGTTTTTGTCTTGTATATTTGGCTCGAAGGTTAGCTTTTGAAATTTCATTATTATGAGCAATTGGGAAAAAGGGCGCATTGACTTTGCGAGCCGTAGAGCCGAGAGGATAGGTCATACATACTAATACATACACAAAGAGACCAAAGAACGCACGTGCAAAACTTTTTACATTGTATTATTTTTGGAGTTCAAGGTGTTTCTCAGTTATCTTTGGACCGCTTTCGACATGGGTAACAAAAAAGATTCGCAAGGGCTTGAGATTTAAAACATTTGAGTGAGTTTACGCGCTTCGGTTGAGAGAAATATTAATTATGTAAAGAACACCAGTCCCTTGATGTGGGCGTCTAAATTGGAAGTTCCATAAAGTTTGATTGTAGCTAATTTTTCACAGTTTTGTAAAATACAAAACCGAATTCATCAGCAAAACGACGATAATAGTGATTTGGTGATTAAGAATTGGTGGAGACTTAGACTAGTCAAGGCAAATATATTAGGTTTCCTTACGCCTGTTCGGCAGTCGGGTCACCAAATGACAGTGTCGCGTCAAAAAATGTTGCCCAAGGTACGATTTCCAGAATCTTCCGGGAAGTTCTCTGAATGGAGAAGTTGGTACCTTAATGTTAATTGATGCAGATAATGATGTGGAAGACGTGAACAAATTCATCATATAAAATTCACTTCGCTAAGGTCTATTGAATGCTTAGAGCTTTCGACAGCCAACTATAAAAAGATCCTTCATCTACTTCAGAAGCGCAAAGAAAAAAATAGGAAAGGAGAACTAGGCAACAGCCTAGCTGTTTAGGAACTAAGGAAAAAATCGTTAACCAGTGAAGGCAGATTTGAAAAGGTCTATTTTGACGGCCTTTGTAGCCCAATCCGATAGTAAGATTTGCCAAAGTTGTTCAGGGAAACATAACTTAAGCGCTTGTCCAAAAGGTGTGTCTTTTACTCATCAGCAAAGATAAGATGTAGTTAAACGATTTAACTTATGCCTGGTGTGTGTTTCAGTAAACGCCACCGCACAAGGAATTGCCATTGGGTCATATTACATAAAAACCCATATTTTTAGCTTAAATATTTAAACTAAATTTAATTTAAATTATTTAATATTTAGCCCAGCGCTACAAGCATATGCTGATTGTTAAGGCACTGTTCATTATAATATGAAAAAATTAAATAAAAACATTAATGACTAAAGACTAACAGCTATAAACTATCTTATTTTAAAGAATTGTATAGTATTTTAATGTAGATGTTTATTTTTCTAATAATATTTGTTATTTGTAAATTTCTTTTAATTTAACTTGTAGCCGATTACATTTTATGTATTCCGTTATCTTAATTACCAAATTATGGACTTCAATTAAAGAAATAATAAAACTAGGCCTATATTTCAACTTTTAAGGTTATGTTGTGGCAAATTTGTAGGTAACTGTTACCTCAAATTTAGTTTATTACAGAATTCTAAAAATATAATGCAGTAATGAACTTTAAGTTGGGTTGCGACAAGTAGTTCCTCGTTGGACAGCTAGTGCTCTATATGAGCGCATGGGTTGTAGCCTAATTCTTGTGCGGAGGGTCAAAGTTGGAATCTCAGTGGACGACAAACAAAAATTAAAGTTTTTCAGAGGGATAAGCCGAAGCTTATATACCCTTCCAGGTATTGCAAAAAAGGAAAAATTCTTGAACATATTTAAGTTTGATTTATTTGCGTTTATGTTTAAAAACATTGAAGCTATGATGATTATCAGCTCAGTTATTCGATCGTTCATATGGCAGCTATATGATATCGTTTTCCGATTTGAATAACATTAAAAGCGTAATTCTGAGCTATGAAATCATTAATAAGTCAAAAAGAATTTTAAAAAAAAATTTAAATGGAGAATTATTTTTTGTTATTTACTTTTTTTTTATTTTGATTATGTTATTGATTATTTTTATTTCCATGGAAGCTATATGATATAGTCGTCCTATTTTGAACAAAATTAAAATTAATTAATTAAAATTAGCAATAGCTTTTTGTTGTATTTAAAATAAAGACATTTTAAAAAACTTTGTTCGTGTCAAACTTTTGAAGACTAAAAATTGCAGTTGCTGATTTAGTATATAATCTGTTAAAACTACCTGTCGGAACTTATCCATTAAGTGAACGTAATCGTTGATATTTAATAATTTATAATCGGTCAAAAGCTTGAAATTCGAGATATTTGTGCTCCTCGGCTCAGTGCTGTTAATAATCTGGTGCAGTTGTCCGACATACTTTTTCTAGACGACTGGACTTTCGTGACTTAACTTTGCAAGCATTACAACTAGGTTATGTATTCATTCTACCTGCCTATTCCCCGCATGGTACATCTGTATCTATTAGTAAATGCTGTATGTTGTGGGACTTGTAACACTCTTTGAATGCGGAAAAAGTAAAATCAGTACCTCTATCTGGCACAATGCGGCAAGGATTTCCAAAATGTACACCTTACTTTTCAAGGCAGTTCAATACATCGCCGACACCAGTTCTACTGGTTGGATCGATCCAAAAATACTTCGAAAAGAATGTGATTGTAGCGCTTGGACGTGATGGATATGGTACGCTACTATGAAGGATAAATTTCCTTTATGAGTGTCAGTCAGAAATTCCTCTTGCTTGCCCGGTTTAGCATTTGCGATTATGCATCAAATGCAACCTCCGCCGATTCGCACCGTTTTCTCTTTAAATTTGCGTATGAAATATGAAATATATGAAATATGAGATCTTGCGTCCTTTTTGCAGAAAGGTATACATTGAATCCCCTCTCAGTAGATCCGACAAAGTTCTGGCAATGGATGCGAACCCGTTTGTAAACTTTCTGAAACATGAAACCAGGCCAAGGAAACGCTGAATACCTATACCTGGTATAGAAAATTCTTTTACAGTTTGAATCTTTTCATGTGCTGAAATAATGGTTCCACTATGAATGATGTACCCTACGAACTGTACTTTTTTGTTCAATACTTGGCACTTTCTCAAATTGATGCGTCATAATATATGTGTATTTTCGAGAGCCTGGTTCGATTGGAACGTGGAAGAATCCGTTTGTGAGATCCAAAGTGGTGAACATCTTGCACTCCTGCAGCTTGTCGAGCACAGTCTCCATATGAGCCGTCGGGAAACTGTCCTAAATTATCTTTTCATTGAGCTTTCGGTAGTCACAGCACAATCGCTTATTTTCGTTTATCTTAGACACAAAAACTACCGAAGATGCATTATCAGAGTAGCTGGGTTGGATAATTTTATCAGCAAGCCACTACTTAACTTGCTCGTCAACTGTTTTTGTCACAAGATGGTAAACGACGCGAATGATGATATACGGTTGGTTTGTTCAGGAATATTTTCATCAACTTACCCTTGAACCCCAAGCTTCTGATTGATCGGATACTGTCAACTGTGCTGCACACATGCCTTAAACCCCTGTTAGAAATCCTTTTCGTAACTGGTTAGCTTTTCTTTCATATCCACTATCTCAAGAAAAGTTCTACCAAGTATAGTATCGAAGCCCATGTCTTCATCCAGAACAACGTGAACTCCACTATCATTTGCTTATTTTCTATCTCGACGGGTAGTTCGATGCTTCCAAAAGTCAGCTTTGGCCAAATCTCGTCAAACATTTTTCCGGTAAGAATTTCGCTGCCAAGTTTCTGCGAATCAGGCACAGATGTGCACCCGTGTCAACGAAGGAATGCTTAATTGTTTTTAGTTCAGACCAGAAGCTGTGAACTCGCTTTTTGGTTGCTCTCCTGTTTGACCTCGTCAGACTACAGCTCGACCTCGACTTTGTTTGTGCAGCTCCATGATCTGACTGCCCACAACGAAAGCAATTATTCTTGCCTTTTTCTAGCAATATTTCTTCATGTGGAACGGATCAGGGCACTTAAAGCACTTACCCACGAAATGCTCGGCTACTTTTTTCTGCTTAGTTTTGTAAGGTATCTTGTATGTGCTGCGGACCTTCTTATATACTTCGATCTGCTTCTTAAGA